GACCTTCAACGCAAGCGGCCGTCATCAGGTGCGGAAAACCCAACGGCAAGAAACATTTGAAAGGAACGGCGGCCCGCATATATTTATTCATTTATTTAAAAAACGGCGTTTGTATTTGCTTATTTATTTTTTCAAAAAAACCGTTAGCGCCGCGGGCAGCGATTTGGCAGTTTGTGGTGCGTTAAATATCAACTGCCAAATCGCTGCCCGTGGCGCTAACGGTTTTATTTAAATAAATAAATGCAAAAACCGTTGAGAAATAAGTAAATAAATAAATGCGAACCGCCACTCCTTTCAAATGTTTCTTGCCGTTGGTTTTTCGCACCTGATGACGACCGTTTGCGTTGCGGTCGAAACGTCGTGAGAATTTTTTTTATTGCTTCGTGTGTATATATTTTTAAAATTATTTTATTGTTTTCCCTATCTACGTGGTGGTGACTTTACCGAAAGAACCAAGAATAATAATTTTATTGTTTTATATTTTAAAATTATTTTATTGTTTCCCTATCTACGTGGTGGTGACTTTACCGAAAGAACCAAGAATAATAATTGTATTGTTTTATATTTTTTTTATTATTTTATTGTTTCCCTATCTACGTGGTGGTGACTTTACCGAAAGAACCAAGAATAAAAATTTTATTGTTTTATATATATTTTTTATTTTATTGTTTTCCCTTCTACGTGGTGGTGACTTTACCGAAAGAACCAAGAATAATAATTTTATTGTTTTACAATAATTTTATTGTTTATATTTTTATTATTTTATTGTTTCCCTTATACGTGGTGGTGACTTTACCGAAAGAACCAAGAATAATAATTTTATTGTTTTACATTTTTATTATTTTATTGTTTCCCTTCTACGTGGTGGCGACTTTACCGAAAGAACCAAGAATAATAATTTTATTGTTTTATATTTTTTATTATTTTATTGTTTCCCTTCTACGTGGTGGTGACTTTACCGAAAGAACCAAGAATAACATTTTTATTGTTTTATATTTTAAAATTATTTTATTGTTTCCCTATCTACGTGGTGGTGACTTTACCGAAAGAACCAAGAATAATAATTGTATTGTTTTATATATTTTTTATTATTTTATTGTTTCCCTATCTACGTGGTGGTGACTTTACCGAAAGAACCAAGAATAAAATTTTTATTGTTTTATATATTTTTTATTATTTTATTGTTTTCCCTTCTACGTGGTGGTGACTTTACCGAAAGAACCAAGAATAATAATTGTATTGTTTTACAATAATTTTATTGTTTATATTTTTATTATTTTATTGTTTCCCTTATACGTGGTGGTGACTTTACCGAAAGAACCAAGAATAATAATTTTATTGTTTTACATTTTTATTATTTTATTGTTTCCCTTCTACGTGGTGGCGACTTTACCGAAAGAACCAAGAATAATAATTTTATTGTTTTATATTTTTTATTATTTTATTGTTTCCCTTCTACATGGTGGTGACTTTACCGAAAGAGCCAAGAATAATAATTGTATTGTTTTATATTTTTTATTATTTTATTGTTTCCCTTCTACGTGGTGGTGACTTTACCAAAAGAACCAAGAACAATAATTTTATTGTTTTATATTTTTTATTATTTTATTGTTTCCCTTCTACGTGGTGGTGACTTTACCGAAAGAACCAAGAATAATAATTTTATTGTTTTATTTTTTTATTATTTTATTGCTTCCCTTCTACGTGGTGGTGACTTTACCGAAAGAACCAAGAATAATAATTTTATTGTTTTATATTTTTTATGATTTTATTGTTTCCCTTCTACGTGGTGGTGACTTTACCGAAAGAGCTAAGGATTTTGAACTACTCTTGCCTTCGGGACGCGTTTCTTCATTGCCATTCGTATGAATATCGTTGCATGATTTTTTTACGGGGACCTTTCCCCTCTCGATTGTGCCGTTACCCAGTTTAACAAACGTGACCGCTGAGGGTTAAACGCACGGATCGATGAGGGGAACGTCTCCGGGAGTGCCGCGTTGACCATTCCGAACACGAGAGTTCGCATAGCAAGAGTGTTCAGCTTCTTTGGTTCTTTCGGTAAAGTCACCACGTAGAATGATAATAAAATAATAAATTGATAAAATAAAATAGCACAATAATATTCTCACGACGTTTCGGCCACAACACAAGCGGCCTTCATCAGGTGAAGGGACGAGACTGTCTGGTAGGACAGCGCTGGAGTGAAAGAGCCACGTTCAGATCACGGCCTTTAAGCCTCAATTTCAGCACCACGGATAGCTACGGGCTCCGTTCAGACGGACGAGTTCGTCCATGGTCGGAACAGAGGAGGGGGAGAGAGGCTTAAAGGCCGTGATCTGAACGTGGCTCTTTCACTCCAGCGCTGTCCTACCAGACAGTCTCGTCCCTTCACCTGATGAAGGCCGCTTGTGTTGTGGCCGAAACGTCGTGAGAATATTAATGCGTTATTTTATTTTATAAATTTATTATTTTATTCTCATTCTACGTGACTTTACCGAAAGAACCAAAGAAGATGAATCATTGCAGTCACGAAAGCTTTAAATCGAAATTTAAAGAGTGTTCAGGTTTTAGTTCAGAAGTTAAAGTTGCTTCGCACAAGAAGCGTCTGCGTGGTGCCTTCCTGTAGTTCGTTGCTTGATCATCTTGATTACAAGAAATGTATCCCGCGGTGAGATTTGAACTTGGGGGACCTGACGTGAACACGCTAAGACATAATCAGTAAACGTTAAGGCGAGAATAATCGTATTGCACCGATTGATAATACGAACCTGGATAACGAGGCCGAGCTTAATCTGGCATACTTACATCACACCTGCATAACTTCATGACTTCATACAATTAGGGAAACAATAAAATAATAAAAAATGTATATAAATATATTTTTATTATTTCATTGTTTCCCTTCAACGTGACTTTACCGAAAGAACCAAGAAGATGAATCACTGCAGTCACGAAAGCTTTAAATCAAAATTCATACAATTAATTGTCTTATCTCGATTGATGATACTACCCTCGACAACGAGGTTGAGCTTAATTATCATAACGGCTTGCATTAGCACATTCGCATACATTTACATAACTAATTAAGAGTGTGCGTTCCTGATTAGCATAATTTATGCGCATAATTACACCAATTAACATATTTTCGGGCAATTATGACAATTTTCTAAATTTCATTTTATTTTCATTATTGGTTTTCAATTTTCAATACCCGGCACATACAACAGGGGAGTGGGTGTGGTGGGGGGAGTCGGTGTGGTGGGGGGAGTCGGTGTGGTGGGGGGAGTGGGTGTGGTGGGGGGAGTGGGTGTGGTGGGGGGAGTCGGTGTGGTGGGGGGAGTGGGGGGAGTCGGTGTGGTGGGGGGAGTGGGGGGAGTCGGTGTGGTGGGGGGAGTCGATGTGGTGGGGGGGAGTGGGGGGAGTGGGTGTGGTGGGGGGAGTGGGGGGAGTAGGTGTGGTGGGGGGAGTTGGTGTGGTGGGGGGAGTCGGTGTGGTGGGGGCGAGTGGGTGTGGTGGGGGGAGTGGGTGTGGTGGGGGGAGTCGATGTGGTGGGGGGAGTGGGGGGAGTAGGTGTGGTGGGGGGAGTCGGTGTGGTGGGGGGAGTGGGTGTGGTGGGGGGAGTGGGGGGAGTCGGTGTGGTGGGGGGAGTGGGAGTGGTGGGGGGAGTGGGTGTGGTGGGGGGAGTGGGGGGAGTGGGTGTGGTGGGGGGAGTGGGGGGAGTCGGTGTGGTGGGGGGCAGTGGGTGTGGTGGGGGAGTGGGGGGAGTGGGTGTGGTGGGGGGAGTCGATGTGGTGGGGGGGAGTGGGTGTGGTGGGGGGGAGTGGGTGTGGTGGGGGGGAGTGGGGGGAGTGGGTATGGTGGGGGGAGTGGGGAGAGTGGGTGTGGTGGTGTGGTGGGGGGGAGTGGGTGTGGTGGGGGGAGTGAGGGGAGTCGGTGTGGTGGGGGGAGTGGGTGTGGTGGGGGGGAGTGGGTGTGGTGGGGGGGAGTGGGGGGAGTGGGTGTGGTGGGGGGGAGTGGGTGTGGTGGGGGGGAGTGGGTGTGGTGGGGGGGAGTGGGGAGAGTGGGTGTGGTGGGGGGGAGTGGGTGTGGTGGGGGGAGTGGGGGGAGTGGGTGTGGTGGAGGGAGTGGGGGGAGTGGGTGTGGTGGGGGGAGTGGATGTGGTGGGGGGAGTGGGGGGAGTGGGTGTGGTGGGGGGAGTCGATGTGGTGGGGGGAGTGGGGGGAGTGGACACTGAAGGCTCTGGATGGGCCCTGGGGCTACGCCTGCAGGCTGGGATTACAGCTCCACCTCATGCACCTAGCCTGGCACAGCAGCAGCAGTCAACCCATGGCACCTGCTGGGTCTGTCACGTGACTTCTACATTGAACGTGACGACCTAAAGGTGCACCTAGCCTGGCACGGGCACCGTGACGACGTCGCTGCGACGTGACGTCACCACGCACATGCTGCGCCGCCCTCGCGATGAGGGAGACGCTAAGGCGTGCGCGATGACGTCATCGCGCACGCGAAGGGCGGTGCGCGCGAGATGACGTCATCACGCACGCGCCACGACGCCGCCATCGGCCGCGCTGTGGGATGGCGTGGCGCGCGCGGTTACGTCATCACGCACGCGCCGCGTTGACGTCATCACGCACGCGCCGCCGCGACGTCATCACGCACACGGCGTGATGCCGTCATCACGCACGCATCACGCGCCGCGGTGACGTCATCACGCACACGCCGTGATGCCATCATCACGCACACATCACGCGCCGCGGCGACGTCATCACACGCGCGCCGTCGCGACGTCATCACGCACACACCGTGATGCCGTCATCACGCACGCATCACGCGCCGCCTCAACGTCATCACGCACACGCCACGCGCCGCGTCGACGTCATCACACGCGCGCCGCCGCGACGTCATCACGCACACACCGTGATGCACACACCGTGATGCCGTCATCACGCACGCATCACGCGCCGCATCGACGTCATCACGCACACGCCACGCGCCGCCGCGACGTCATCACGCACACGCCGCGGCGTCTCTCCCCCCACCCCACCATCCCAGAAGCCCTCACAACGCGAATCTCCCTCAGTGGCATGGCGCCCTCACCTCTCCTCACCACCCTCCTCACCACTCCCCTCACCACCCTCCTCACCACCCTCCTCGTCGTGAGCGCCGCCGCCGCGGCTGCTGCTGCTGCTGCTGCAGGAGGAGGCGGCGAGGCCGGCGCCGTGACCTGTGGCTCGCTCCTCAAGCTCCTCAACAGCCACCACGGAGTGCGACTCCACTCACACGACGTCAAATACGGCTCGGGTGAGGGGGTGGTGGTGAGGGGGTGAGGGTGGTGGTGAGGGTGAGGGGGTGGTGAGGGTGAGGGGGTGGTGAGGGGGTGGTGGTGAGGGTGAGGGGTGGTGGTGGTGAGGGTGAGGGGGTGGTGGTGAGGGTGAGGGGGTGGTGGTGGTGAGGGTGAGGGGGTGGTGGTGAGGGTGAGGGTGGTGAGGGTGAGGGGGTGGTGGTGAGGGGGTGGTGGTGAGGGTGAGGGGTGGTGGTGGTGAGGGTGAGGGGGTGGTGGTGAGGGTGAGGGTGGTGAGGGTGGTGAGGGTGGTGGTGAGGGTGGTGAGGGTGGTGGTGGTGAGGGTGAGGGGGTGGTGGTGAGGGTGAGGGGGTGGTGGTGAGGGTGAGGGGGTGGTGGTGAGGGTGAGGGGGTGGTGGTGAGGGTGAGGGGGTGGTGGTGAGGGTGAGGGGGTGGTGGTGGTGAGGGTGAGGGGGTGGTGAGGGTGAGGGGGTGGTGAGGGTGAGGGGGTGGTGAGGGTGAGGGGGTGGTGAGGGTGAGGGGGTGGTGGTGGTGAGGGTGAGGGGGTGGTGAGGGGGTGGTGAGGGGGTGGTGAGGGGGTGGTGAGGGTGAGGGGGTGGTGAGGGTGAGGGGGTGGTGAGGGTGAGGGGGTGGTGGTGGTGAGGGGGTGGTGGTGAGGGTGAGGGGGTGGTGAGGGTGAGGGAGTGGTGGTGAGGGTGAGGGGGTGGTGGTGGTGAGGGGGTGGTGAGGGTGAGGGGGTGGTGGTGGTGAGGGGGTGGTGAGGGTGAGGGTGAGGGTGGTGGTGGTGAGGGAGTGGTGGTGAGGGTGAGGGGGTGGTGGTGGTGAGGGGGTGGTGAGGGGGTGGTGGTGAGGGTGAGGGGGTGGTGGTGAGGGTGGTGGTGAGGGTGAGGGGGTGGTGAGGGTGAGGGGGTGGTGGTGGTGAGGGGGTGGTGAGGGGGTGGTGGTGAGGGTGGTGGTGAGGGTGAGGGGGTGGTGAGGGTGAGGGGGTGGTGGTGGTGAGGGGGTGGTGAGGGGGTGGTGGTGAGGGGGTGGTGGTGAGGGGGAGTGGGGTGGTGAAGGGGTGGTGGTGAGGGGGGTGGTGAGGGGGGTGGTGAGGGGGGTGGTGAGGGGGGTGGTGAGGGGGGTGGTGAGGGGGGTGGTGAGGGGGCTACCGCCCGCACGTGGTCGCCTCTCATTGGCTGGCGGTGCGGCGGCGTCCCGCGTTGGCCGCCTCTGATTGGCACGCGGTGGAAGGGCGGGAATTTTCAAAAAAATAAACACAGACACACACACACAGTCACACACACACAGAGACACACACAGACAGACACACACAGAGACACACACACAGAGACACATACACACAGACACACACAGACACACACAGACACACACACAGACACACACAGTCACACAGACACACAGAGACACACACCCACACACACACTTACCCACTCACTCACACACACACTCACACACACACTTACCCACTCACTCACACGCCCACCCACCCATCCACCCACTCACCCATCCACCCACTTACACACTAACTCACCTGCAGCCACACACACCCACACACTCACACACTCACTCACTCACCCACACACACACCCACACACTCACTCACCCACACACTCAGACACTCACTCATTCACCTGCAACCACACCCACACACTCACACATTCACTCATACAACAACCGCCATTCGCCACTAAGTGGCGGTGACGTCACCACGACGCTTGTGCCAGGCTATGTGCACCTTGAGGCCACGTGAAGTGGCGAACGCCCGCGGGCAGGAGGTCACGGGGCAGACCCAGGTGCCACGGGTCGACCGAGACGACTGGCGGATGCACCACACACACCCACTCACTGACACTCACACACTTACTCACACACTTACCCACTCAAACACCCACTCATACACACACACTTACCCACTCAAACACCCACACACTCACACACTTACCCACTCACACACTTACCCACTCACACACTCACACTTATTCATCACACACTTACCCACTCATACATTCACACACTCACCCATACACTCACACACTTACCCACTCACACACACTTACCCACTCACACACTCACCCGCATCCACTCACTCACCCGCAGCCACTCACACACCCACCCACTCACACATTCACTCTGTGGGTCTCTGTTGATCTCTGTTGATCTTAGTGGTTCTCTCTGAGTCTCTGTGAATCTCTGGGTCTCTGTGGATCTCTGTGGGTCTCTGTGGGTCTCTGTGGGTCTCTGTGGGTCTCTGTGGATCTCTGTGGGTCTCTGTGGGTCCCTGTGGGTCTCTGTGGATCTCTGTGAGTCTCTGTGAATCTCTGTGGGTCTCTGTGGATCTCTGTGAATCTCTGTGGCTCTCTGTGAATCTCTGTGGGTCTCTGGGTCTTTGTGGATCTCTGTGAATCTCTGTGGATCTCTGTGAGTCTCTGTGGGTCTCTGGGTCTTTGTGGATCTCAGTGAATCTCTGTGGGTCTTTGTGAGTCTCTGTGGGTCTCTGGGTCTTTGTGGATCTCTGTGAGTCTCTGTGGCTCCCTGTGGCTCCCTGTGGGTCTCTGCGAGTCTCTGTGGGTCTCTGTGGGTCTCTGTGCATCTCTGTGCATCTCTGTGGGTCTCTGTGGGTCTCTGTGGGTCTCTGTGAATCTCTGTGGGTCTCTGTGGGTCTCTGTGAGTCTCTGTGAGTCTCTGTGGATCTCTGTGAGTCTCTGTGAATCTCTGTGGGTCTCTGTGAATCTCTGTGGCTCTCTGTGGCTCTCTGTGAATCTCTGTGGGTCTCTGGGTCTTTGTGGATCTCTGTGAGTCTCTGTGAATCTCTGTGGGTCTCTGTGGATCTCTGTGAATCTCTGTGGCTCTCTGTGAATCTCTGTGGGTCTCTGGGTCTTTGTGGATCTCTGTGAGTCTCTGTGAATCTCTGTGGGTCTCTGGATCTTTGTGAATCTCTGTGGCTCTCTGTGAATCTCTGTGGGTCTCTGGGTCTTTGTGGATCTCTGTGAGTCTCTGTGAATCTCTGTGGGTCTCTGTGGATCTCTGTGAGTCTCTGTGGGTCTCTGGGTCTTTGTGGATCTCTGTGGGTCTCTGTGAGTCTCTGTGGGTCTCTGGGTCTTTGTGGATCTCTGTGAATCTCTGTGGGTCTCTGTGGATCTCTGTGAATCTCTGTGGCTCTCTGTGAATCTCTGTGGGTCTCCGGGTCTTTGTGGATCTCTGTGAGTCTCTGTGAATCTCTGTGAGTCTCTGTGGGTTTCTGTGAATCTCTGTGGCTCTCTGTGAATCTCTGTGGGTCTCTGGGTCTTTGTGGATCTCTGTGAATCTCTGTGGGTCTCTGTGTGAGTCTCTGTGAATCTCTGTGAATCTCTGTGGCTCTCTGTGGCTCTCTGTGAATCTCTGTGGGTCTCTGGGTCTTTGTGGATCTCTGTGAGTCTCTGTGAATCTCTGTGGGTCTCTGTGGCTCTCTGTGAATCTCTGTGGGTCTCTGGGTCTTTGTGGATCTCTGTGAGTCTCTGTGAATCTCTGTGGGTCTCTGTGGGTCTCTGTGAGTCTCTGTGGCTCTCTGTGGATCTCTGTGGCTCTCTGTGAATCTCTGTGGGTCTCTGGGTCTTTGCGGATCTCTGTGAGTCTCTGTGAGTCTCTGTGGATCTCTGGGTCTTTGTGGATCTCTGTGAATCTCTGTGGGTCTCTGGGTCTTTGTGGATCTCTGTGAGTCTCTGTGGGTCTCTGTGGTTGTTTGTGAGTCTCTGTGAATCTCTGTGGGTCTCTATGGGTCTCTGTGAATCTCTGTGGGTCTCTGTGAGTCTCTGTGGGTCTCTGTGAATCTCTGTGGCTCTCTGTGAATCTCTGTGGCTCTCTGTGAATCTCTGTGGGTCTCTGTGAGTCTCTGTGTGAGTCTCTGTGAATCTCTGTGAATCTCTGTGGATCTCTGTGAATCTCTGTGGCTCTCTGTGAATCTCTGTGGATCTCTGTGAGTCTCCGTGAATCTCTGTGGGTCTCCGTGAGTCTCTGTGGGTCTCTGGGTCTTTGTGGATCTCTGTGAGTCTCTGTGAATCTCTGTGGGTCTCTGTGGGTCTCTGTGGCTCCCTGTGGGTCTCTGTGGGTCTCTGTGGATCTCTGTGCGTCTATGTGGGTCTGTGTGGGTCTCTGTGAATCTCTGTGGCTCTCTGTGAATCTCTGTGAGTCTCTGTGAGTCTCTGTGGGTCTCTGTGAATCTCTGTGGCTCTCTGTGAATCTCTGTGGCTCTCTGTGGCTCTCTGTGGGTCTCTGTGGCTCTCCCTGTGGCTCTCCCTGTGGCTCCCCGTGGGGCGGCTGTTAACGCATCTGCCTCACACTCTCACTCACACTGCCTCTCCCTCTCTCCCTCTCTCTCCCTCTCTCCCCGCCCCTCGTCGCCGGGCAGGCAGCGGGCAGCAGTCGGTGACGGGCGTGGAAGATGCCGACGACGGCAACAGCTACTGGCGCGTCCGCTCGGCGGCCACGGCGGCGTCGCCGCGGTGCCAGCGGGGCCAGCCGGTGCGGTGCGGGCAAGCGGTGCGGCTGACCCACGTCAACACCGGACGCAACCTCCACAGCCACCACTTCTCCTCGCCGCTGTCGGGCAATCAGGTGGACGGCGCTCCAGCCGTTGTTGTTGCTGATGTTGATGTTGATGGTGGTGGTTGTTGTTGTTGTTGTTGATGTTGTTGTGGTTGTTGTGGTGGTGGTGGTTGTTGTTGGTGTTGGTGTTGATGTTGTTGTTGATGTTGTTGTTGTTGATGTTGTTGTTGTGGTGGTGGTGGTGGTGGTTGATGTTGTTGATGTTGGTGTTGTTGTTGTTGATGTTGTTGTTGTGGTTGTTGTGGTGGTGGTGGTTGTTGTTGTTGATGTTGATGTTGTTGATGTTGTTGATGATGATGTTGTTGATGTTGTTGTGGTGGTTGTTGTGGTGGTGGTGGTGGTTGTTGGTGTTGTTGTTGATGTTGTTGATGTTGTTGATGTTGTTGATGTTGTTGTTGATGATGTTGTTGTTGTGGTTGATGTTGTTGTTGTTGATGTTGTTGATGTTGTTGTTGGTGTTGTTGATGTTGTTGTTGTTGTGGTTGTTGTGGTGGTGGTGGTTGTTGTTGGTGTTGTTGTTGTTGATGTTGTTGTTGTTGTTGATGTTGTTGATGTTGCTGTTGTTGATGTTGTTGATGTTGTTGTTGTTGTGGTGGTGGTGGTTGTTGTTGGTGGTGGTGGTGGTTGTTGTTGGTGTTGATGTTGTTGTTGATGTTGTTGTTGATGTTGTTGCTGTTGTTGTTGTTGTTGCTGTTGATGTTGTTGATGTTGTTGTTGTTGTGGTTGTTGTGGTGGTGGTGGTTGTTGTTGGTGTTGATGTTGTTGTTGTTGTTGATGTTGTTGCTGTTGTTGTTGTTGATGTTGTTGCTGTTGTTGTTGTTGTTGCTGTTGTTGTTGTTGCTGTTGTTGCTGTTGTTGTTGTTGCTGCGCACCATGGCGCGCACGTACACGCACACGCGTGCACGCTCACATCCACACACACACACACACGTTCGCTTGTACAATCGCTCGCACGCTCACACTCAACTGCAGCCACTCACTCGCACTCACCCACTCACTCACCGACTCACTCACCCACTCACCGACCCACCCACGCACTCACTCACCCACTCAACAATCCACTCACCCACCCACCGACCCGCTCACCCACTCACCCACCCACTCACCTACTCACTCACTCACCCACACACACACTCACTCACCCACACACTCACTCACCCACTCACTCACCCACTCACTCACCCACCGACCCGCTCACCCACTCACCCACCCACTCACCTACTCACTCACTCACCCACACTCACTCACCCACACACTCACTCACCCACACACTCAGACACTCACTCATTCACCTGCAACCACACCCACACACTCACACATTCACTCGTACAACAACCGCCATTCGCCACTAAGTGGAGGTGACATCACCACGACGCTTGTGCCAGGCTATGTGCACCCTGAGGCCACGTGAAGTGTCGAACGCCCGCCGGCAGGAGGTCACGGGGCAGACCCAAGTGCCACGGGTCGACTGACTGAGATGACTGGCTGGTGCACCACCTGTGCCCCCTACTGTGCCAACCTGCTGTGCTTTAGCCACCCGGCGCTCCGCTCGTTGTTGTGAGCGTCGCTCCTCCGCCCTCCGTTGTTGTTGGAGGGCGACTGCCTCCAACTGCCCAGTAGCATCCTTCACGAGCCTCCTCCACAGAGGCCGATCTTGACACCGCTGGTACCGGTCATCGGCAAGTCCACTCAGCTCCACGTCCTCCTGTACCACATCACTCCATCTCTTCTCTAGCCCGTGCCGTGCCCATTTAGCCCCCTCAATCCGGCCGAACAAAAGCTGTTTCGGCATGCGGTGGCTGGGCATGTGGGCTACATGACCCAGCCAACGCAGCCTTGCCTGCCGGAGGAGCTATCCGATGGGACCTTGCCCAGATCTTTCAAGGATTTGTGAGCTCCTTTAAACCCAGGATGGATCACAGGCAGGCTAGCCTAAATGTTTCTAACCGGCGAAGATGTTCCATTTAAGGGGGTCCATGTTTCGTAAGCGTAGAGAAGGGAGGGAATGACCGTGGCCGAGAAGACCTGAAGCTTAGTGCGGAGCGACAGACCAGGTAGCTTCCACACAGCGTTACGCAACCGATGAAAAGATATTGCCGCTCGACTGATTCGGAGTGAGACCTCTGCTGTTAAACTGGAGCCGGTAATAAGCACACTGCCCAGGTATGGGAAACTCTCCACTCTCTCCACAACTGCCCCATCACCGATTGGGAGTTGTGGGGGTGGAGTGTCTGATGGTGCAAAATACCCAGGCAGGTGCTTAGTTTTGGTGGGGCTGATGGTAAGGCCCCACCTCTTAGTGGCACGCTCCAGTCTCAGCAGGAGCGTCTCCAACTCCTCCTCTGACTGAGCAGCTATTACCAAATCATCGGCATACATAACGTGGTTGAGCAATAGGGAGCCATCCCTTGACCGCACCCGGGGATCGATCAGCCTCCCATTATATCTGTACCAAATGGAGATTCCCCCGGTACAGCTATTGAAGGCTTCACGAACTACGTGGTCAAAATAGATGTTAAATAATGTGGGAGCCAGAGGACATCCCTGTCGCACCCCAAGGTGTACAGGGAATGGCTCTGACTCCCGGCCACGTAGTTTTACCCGGGCCCGCTCACCATCATGAAGGTCCTTAATGATCGTGAGCACATTGTCAGGTACTCCAAAAGCACGAAGAACGACCCAGAGCCCC